TATTTAGAAAGATCTCACTTAACACCAGGTGACAACCTTCAAATCTGTATACACTCCTTACATCATCTAAACTACAAAAAAAAACACACATTTACAAAGGCAATGTAATCTGTAATAAACCCCAATGCTAAATTTGTAAACATATCACCAATAGTATTTTAAACCACCCAACATACACAGTAATCTGACCTCCCCTTTTAACTAGTCACAGTTCAAATATATTTACTTTTTTTCAATTGTAACAGTGAAACAGGTATGGAATTTCATCTTTGGTTTAATAATCATAAGAAAACTATCAAAGACAATCACATCATTTTCACAGCAGCTGCACATTTCAACCAACCAGACCATAATATTAATAACGTTAGATGTATTCTTTTAGTCTCTTCATTTAAATGCCAACAAGAACGCCAAAAGTCTGAGTTAAAATAGATTTTTAAAATAAATTCACACACATTCTAAGTTTAAATAGGAATTTAGGCATACTCAGTGAATGCAGTTTCCACAAAAAAGTCATCTGCAAAACCCCCACAACCCTAATCATGGCAAACAATGAGCTGAAAACTATGAGATGTCATCAGTAATATAACACATGCAGAAAAAAAAAAAGAATTCTCCCAGAAAAAAGTCCCACTTTATTTTTTAATTCTCATCTCATAGACAAAAGTAAGAAAATAAATATTATGAGTCATATTATCAATGTTATGATTTTTGTTGCTTTTTCATCTCTTGATTATATTATATACACTTGGGTGCTGCTGATAGCTATGCTAGCATGAAGTCACAAGTCATCATGACTGAGGGTTTGAGTGTGCTGGCCTTGTTTAGATAACATGCTCTCTCCCAGAAACTGTGACTAAGGTCTGCTCAGTATAGTTGCAGTATAAACCACAGGTTGGCTCTGGGGGTATTGAACAAACACAAATGTGCCTGAACGAGCGTCTGCAATAGGGACTGACTAACCACCATAATAGATGGGTATCCTCGAATATGAGTGGCCAGGTATTATATATCAGCCCATATGACGGTTAACCCTTCAATATGCCCTTCATGTGGATTTGTTTGCAAATCCCATGCAGGATTATTGTCTCATATAAAACATAAATATAAAAACTGAATTGAAAGACACTCATATGTCCAAAACGAAGGGAGAGTTCATCATATATATATATATATATATATATATATATGCACATGTTATGCTGGTGATATTTAAGTAATTTTGTAATTATATTGATTATATTGTCTGCATAGTAATTTAGGTTGTTTATACAATTAAATGTATTTCAGCTTTTTAAACCATTCCAAGTAAAAATATTCGAAGAAAAGCTAACATGACATATATTGTCATAAAATGCCAGTCATAACATGTAAGTTTCTAATTTCACTGGTTTAAATTTCTTCATGTATAATCTAAGAATTCCATCGATATAATTAACTCTATTTAAAAAGCTGGATACTTATTTCCATGCTACTGCAAGAAGGAATTCACCTTTAATCATTAAAAGTCAAAATACATGTAAAAATAAAATTATTCAATAATGTTCAAGCAATTTAAATCCTGACCAACTCCAGAGTTTCACATAAAAAATATTCATCATCATCATCAGAGGGTCCATTAAATCTATTCAATTATTATCAGATATATTTATATTCCAGAATACAAACACTAATCATAGACTCCAAATTTGAAATATGTGTCACACTAGAAAATCTTCAAAGAAAACTAACACAGAAAAGAAATAATATATTAGCAATCTAAACTCTCCTATTTATTAATGGTATAATCCATTGTTATCATAACATGAGCCATGTTCAATTATTGGTGTTGCCCTAACAACAGAATATTCCGTTATAACTAAGGGGAGATCAGGCAGAGTGACTGAAAATATATATTAAGTTACCTTGGGTCTGAAAGCACTCATCGCAAGCAATTTAAGGCCCCAAGTTCTGCACAGAGAATTGTCCCATGGAACACTAGCCTAGCCAGATTAAAGCATTGGTTTGTGAATTTGGTGATATAGTAAATGTGAGTTCAATCCCTGGTCCAGGCAGTGTGTATTTGGACTCAGTGGAAACAGGGTGAGCAATAACTGAGCAGTCCTAAAAAATAAGAACTAGACTAAACATCTCTCAATGTGGACAATGAAATCAGAACAATTTACCTCTGTAGGTTACCCAGATCGATTAAAGCCAAGGGGAACAAAGGTTGAAATGGTGTGATTACAACAAAAATGAGGACAACAGTAACACATATAAATAGTGGAAATAATGACAAGTTATACTGGGCTCTACAATGATTGCATTTGTTTTTGGCAAAAGTTTTCTTAAAATAATAGTAAAGTGTGAATTCCTAATAATTAGGATTTCTTAAACAATTATAAGAAAAATCTATCTTTCATTCACTCTAATAATTCAATAAATACTAAATATAAATCTAAGATGTAAGCAGATGTCAAACTTTCCATCATACATTAGGAAGATAGAATCCCAAATATGACTTTAGTATGTTGATCATTTACATTATTCGGACTACTATCCTCATCTTTGTCACCATATTTATTACAACGTTTCGGCCCTTGTACACTCCAGCCTTCTTCAGGTGGTTGGAATGTTGAACTGAACCCTTTATTTTGCTCACTGGGGTAGACTGTTCTAGTTCCACATGCCATGTTTAATGGATGTCAGTGGTAAGGAATTAATGCAAGAATGACTGATGGAATAAAGTTATTCTTCTTTTATGGCCCTTGTGTACAATACACTGATGCTATTTTGCTTTTAATTTTTGTTCAAAATTTTTTGTATTAGGCACAAGAAAATATGGTAATCATTTCTATCACTTTCCTTTATTACTTTATCTTAGATTTCTTTCAGCTTTCTTTCAAAATCTGCCATCGACAGTGTCATCTATGTATCTCATATTAGGATTATATATGTCAATAATGAGTCCTGGTAGACATTCTAGTTGTTTTAGGATCACCATTGATTAAATAAATCTAGTGAGAAAACTTATCCTCCTCTTACTCTTCTTTCTAGTTCTGTGTTGTCACATGCAGGCTGCTTGTTTCCAGTAAAGCTTACAGGTTAATCTCATATCTTCTCCACATAAATAAAGCTTTCCTAGCATTTCAAATAGGTTTTTGTATTGTACTTTAGTATCTGTTCTGAGATGAGGTATTATGTACACTATTTACATTATTTGGACTATTCTCCTCATCTTTGTCACCATATTTATTACAACATTTTGGTCCTTCATTATCTGTCCATATTTATGAGATGAGGTATTATGTACACTATTTACATTATTTGGACTATTCTCCTCATCTTTGTTGCCATATTTATTACATTTCGGCCGTTGTATGCTCCAGCCTTCTTCAGGTGGTTGGACACATGACACAGTGGATAAAAGCATTGGTTAGATCCAGTAATAGGACCCAAAAGAGTTCAATACCTGGTTAAGGCAGTGGAGAAATTGGAGAGGGGAATTAACAAGAGATAAACAAGAGATAACTGATAACTAACATCCATTAAACATGGCATCTGGAACTAGAACAGTCTATCTCAGTGAGCAAAATAAAGGGTTCAGTTCGACATTCCAACAATCTGAAGGCAGGAGCATACAATGGCCAAAACGCTGTAATAAATATGGCGACAAAGATGATGACAATAATCCGAATAATGTAAATAGTGAATTGAACTTTATCGAATATTTATGAAACAAAGTTATAGACCGTTCATCATTTGTACTGTTCACTCCAAGAGCATTCTAATAATGAAGGTTGCAGTGCTTGTTCCAGTTTCTTGAAAAAACCAATACTTTTACCCTAATTCCAGTCTAATTCTGCCATGAATTCCATTCAATAGAATCGTAATACAAAGTTTAGTTATGTGGCTTATTGAGTTGATTGTCCGATAGAGTTCAGATTCATTTGCAACTGTCTTCTTTAACATTGCTGTGAAGATAGATATATTTTACCTTTGTCATATATTTCATTTATTATTTTACTAATCTTATTAATCACAGAAGCAGCTAAGGCTGATAAGAAAGAGGGGCAGGAGTATAGACATAGGAATCAACATCGCATGGTAACTGTCAGCTTTATGCATCAATGCAATTTTCAAATCAAGTTGCAAGCAAAGTTGGCTCTCTTTGTTGTGCCAGAAAGTTTTTCTTGTCCGAGTTCATCCTTCAAATCTATAAATCAACCATCCATCCTTGTTGTCATTTATGGTCTGGTGCTCTCACTGTACCTCTTGAGATTCTTGACAAAATCAAGAGACTAATATGCAAGATGATAGGTCCTGATCTGGCATCTAGTCTACAATCGCTATCCCACAGACAAGCTGTGGCCTCCGTCTGTCTCTTCTACAAATATTTTCATGGCAACTGTTCTGATGAGCTACTTTCGCTGGTTCCTATGTATTCATGTATTCAAATGAGCTACCAGGCTGGCATCTCACTCCCACCCTTTCACTGTCAATACAGTTAAATGTAACTGTCTCTTCTTCTCAAACAGCTTCTTCTCCCACACTTCCCATCTGTGGAACTCCCTTCCCATTACTTGCTTCCTTGATGACTATAATCTTAAAAAATTCATCTGTAATGTGAATTGACATCTGATACCCTGAGCTTGTTTCCCTTCCTTCTGTGTATACTTTCCTCAAACACGCCTCTTTACTCTTGTTCTCAATCCTCTGTAATCACTTGTGTGCTAGTGGCACTCCCACCTTGCTTGGGGTGTTTTATATGATTGATCTGTTTTCTATGGCTTATCAACCATTTTCAGGTTATTTAAAACCAGAAAATATTTATAGATTGTGAGAATTTTTTTTAGAGATAATAATGGTTCAGTGACACAAGTTTTATTAACTTGATCTATAGCCGGAGGGAAAAGATTTAGATTTGTACCTTTTCCAAGGGTATTTGTGAATAAGTGAATAAGACAAACCTGATTAACAATTCCATGTCATTATCCATTACATCACCTGCACATCCAAACTTGTAGCACCTGGTATTCCCAAATGGTCACCCATCTAGATACTGACCATGTTCAATGTTGCTTAACTTTGCTGACTGTATGGGAACCAGTGTTTCAATGTGATATGGCCATAAGCTCAGATCATGTGTGGCATCTGAAAATTGCATACTTCTTTAACAAGTTACTTGCAGATTAAAGGAGTGACGGAGAGGGAAACAGACCCTTTCGAATTATTTTGTTTAAGGCTATTGCTTCAGGTAATTTCTATAACATTAACTATAACCACATTCATGACAAAAAAATAAAATTAAATCACTTAACCAAAATCTAATAAATGGTCAAGAACCAAAAATTGAACCAAAGAAATGAAAACAGAAGAAAAATATACAAACCAAGAAGCATGGAACCCATAAATTAATAAGCCAACAAATGGTCATGAGTAACCTTTTTTGCAGCTTGTCTCTGTGGGTGCTGAACAAACACAAATGTGCCTGAGCAAGGGTCTGCAATAGGGATTGGCTAGCAACAGGTATCCTCAAATACGAGTGGCCAGGTATTATATATATATAGATAGATAGAGAGCTCAATATAATAACAGAGCAAATAATAATTATTATGAAAATGGCAATATTTTATTTCATTAAAACTGATGCTATGTTTTTAACTCATTAGACCAAACATTTTCACAAAAATAAATGGATAAAAATTTTACCAGACACAAAAACATTTATCTAAGCATAAATTATGTTTAAATATGTAAATTCAAAATTGGGGGAAGGGGGAAAGGAAAAAAAAAACAGAAAACACAAAGGAGAAAATGTATTCAAATGTGGGGGAATAGATGGAGAAGAAGAGGGATATACTTTCAAGGCTGGGAAGGGAAAGAAAAGAGAGGGAGAAAAGATGGGCTGTGTGCTGAGAAGAAGACCTGAAGAAGGCTGGAGCGTACAACGACCGAAACATTGTGATAAACATGGCAACATTTTATATATATATATATATTATATATATATATATATATATATTATAATTATAAATCAGTTATTGGTCACTGTTAAATGAGATCAGGAAACACTGTCCTGGGTATGACAATAAACTACATTTGACAGCAAGGATCAGGAGCTTTAGAGGAGCATGGAACTTAATGGATGGTGTTCCTAGGTCCAACCTGACCTGGTGTGGTAGCACCTGATAGGGTCCCAGCTACAGGTATATAATTAACTGCAAAACTGGGATTAAAATACTGAAAAAATAGGTTTTAATACCAGCAATATATTTTTGTAAAAAATGTTTTTACCAGCAATGAATTTTTGAAGATAAAATTATTACTTGCAATAGATTTTCTGGAAAAAAATATTTTACCAGCAATAAAAATCTTGTGAGCATTAAATAACCCATTTTGGTTGATATGCTGTAAAACAAGACAAACCAGAAAACAGCTGTATTAAAAAGTGCTCAATGCACATTTTTGGAAATAAAAAATTTGGCCTATATTGTCTGGGGACAACGAAAGGTTGAAACCATGGTAGCATGATTGGCTGATCTCCTAATTTTTAAGATTATATATATATATATATATATATATATATATATATATATATTATATGTGTATATTTAGGCAGCAATTTTTCATTAATGCATGTTTCATTAAATAATATAGACAAGTTTTGTCTATTTATTTTAAGTAAGTTCCTTTCATATTGTTTGTTAAGCTTAATCACATTATTGTTGAAAGACGAAAGGAAAACAACATATTGATACATGTTTAAATCCAATCTAAGCTTTCAGATTGCATAAGCCATTATCAAAGATGACAATTACTTTTCAATATATCAACCAATACATGAACAAAACAAATAATGATAGTCTGTTTTGTTGCATGAAAAAATTTCAAAGCAATGACTAACTCATGTATACGAGATGCAGAAGCGAAAATTCCGTCACAGCTCATGATGTCACACATGACCACACGATAATGATATTATTAAGCTTATCAGACAATATGAAAGGTACTTACTTAAAATAAATAGACAAAACTTGTCTATATTATTTAATGAAACATGCATTTATATATATATATATATATATATGTGTATGTCTGTGCTCATATATAAATGGAATAAGACTTTTTTCAATATCACTACACAATGTAATTATTTGGCATTATTTATAGTCTTTTTTTTATCAGTATGGTAATTTCATCTGTCATCCACTGCCTTTTTTCTTATCTCTCTTTCCTTGGGATGATCTATTTAGCTTCCTTTCAGGTGACAGCGCTATTATAATTACATATTTATTTAACAGTCATACATAGCATATGAATCCATTCACACATTACACTCAGTCTTGAAAGAAATTTGCAAAAAGCAAGAATTATGTTATGCTGAACATGAGTTATATTTTTCTTTATAGTTTATCAACCCATTATTGGTTATTTAAAACCAAAACATTTTTCATTGTAATATATTTCTTTTTTTCTTTTTTTGTAAGTTAATATTTTATTAACAATTTTTGTGAGAAAAACAATGATTTTTCAAGTACTACTATTTAACCCATATCTTGGGGGAAGAGATGGATTCCCAAGGGTATTTGTGCATGAGTGAATGTAACAAACACATCTGGAATTTGAACTTGGCTCTCTGATTTCTTATTTCAAGCTGCTATCCATTGCCTCACCTGTGCATCCACAAGCTCACCATGAGAGAACTTCAATAATGTTGATGGAAGTTTTCTAATAGAAGAATTTGTAGTGTGCATGTATGAGGCATTTTACCAAAATATCTGGTGATGGAACAAAGTGCAGGGAGGATTGGATTAATGCTACATAAATATCAGGAATTCAAAATGTTTGCTAATATCTTTTATTCCACACCCAGGCAAAAATGTCTGACATATTTTCTTTGTTAGTTCTTGTTTATTTCCATATATTGCAGATGTTCATCTTTATCTTGCAATTCTTTTTGGTAACATTTTTGTTTTTCTATTTTCACCTGTGTTCTTGGGTATGTAACATGTCTTTTAGTTGAAAATCTGTATTGGATGTATGTCTTTCTGATCTGGTTAAGACTTGGCATGGCAGAAAACAGGTTTGTCATGTCAGTGACATTTTGTTGATGAATGAAGTTTGAAATGTTATTCCTTCTTTACGAGGCTTTTCTGCGGCTACAACAGGTGACACTATGTTGTGTGGGTGGGGAAGATTTTTTTTTTTTTGTTCAAGCTAGTTTTTTCTCAGATAGGAATTATTTCTGTTTCTTAAAAATATATATCAAAAAGATCATTCATCAGTTGTTTTGCAAAGTGTCAAAATAAAATAATTCCTTACATTGATTACCATCTTGATCTCTTTTATTTCTAAAATACTGCTTTCAGACAATATACTTTTCATCGTTGTTCCGTTGCTCAGTATTCAAGTGCTTTCATTGTGACATATTTTTTAATATTCTCTTTGGTGGTTCCAATCAGTTTTCAAAATACTGCAAAAAACTTTCCCCTCTCCAATTTATAGGCAGAAGCACACAAATGCATGCTGAGATTTCTAGCCAATATAACAGGCTGGTACTTGGTTTCATCTGACTCAGTCCCAGTCTGTCTTGTCTTAAGGTCAGAATGCTACATTCGCTTACTTTTGTATGTCAACCCCAATTCTTAGTTTATGAACTTTTTGCCATATTACTGTTGCTTTGCCTTATTACTGTTAATTTGCCTTGCATTATCTATTGCCCTGTTCTTTTCTTTTCCTTGTAATTGCTTATCGCAAACTTTATAAAATCTGTTTGTTGGGCAGTTCTACCATTATTTACATTTAACCATGGCCAGTCACTCTACACTTATTTTTCTAATGACCTTTACCTCCTCACAAATATAATGGGGCTAAATATAATTCTTTCACTGAGTTTGTGAATAACATGTAAAATCCTCACTATTACCACATTGGCATTTGATTATACCTTTTTGACAAATACTTAATCATCAACTTGAACCTTGGATGCTTGGGCTCTGATATACACTGTTTTTAATAACATACAAGACATCCTTCACTTTATATGATACTATTGTACATTTACAACACAAGTACTGTTAATATATAATGTTTGGACAGTGACATGGTGATGTTTGGTGATACCCAGGGCCAACTATTTGATTATATGCCCCTAAGACTCAAGTAGGTGGGGAGCTTATAGGACCTAGTACTGAGAAATATGAGAAAAGAAGACATTTTTACATAGGTAAAAACATAAAATAAACACTTTATTCAAATTAAATATAAACTAAATTTTTATTTCACTTTTTGATTAGATGCCCTTCTGATATGGATATCCAGGGCTATCACACCCTCTACACTCTCCTTCTTCCCACTACTGTGTTTGGATAAACATTAGTTAACCTTCAAATTCACAAGACCAAGGAGATAATTTTAAAGCCATATTTTGGAAAGAAATGTGAGATGCTTATATGCTATCAAATATAGTACGTGATTGGTAGAAAAATATGTTTTACAAAATCTAATTTCTCTTAGAAGGAAATATCAGCAAATCTAAGGTGATAACGTCCTTTGTAGAAATGAAACCGATTTTTGCTGATGCTAATATACCAAAAGTCTATATTTATTAACAATGTGACCAATTCTGCTAAGTAAGGAAGTAGTAGTAAAATTTCAAGTTTTTTCTAGAAGAGCACACAGTAGATGTGTTCATGAAGAGAAGGTGCATTTCATGAAAAAATAGCCATAATTAAAAAAAAAAAAGAATTGCAACGTCCTTTAAAAACCTGTGGAATGCCAGAAGCATTTTGTATCATTATGTTTAATATAGAACATGCTGACGTGAAAGGCTATAATTTTCATCATCAGATGTAAATCTTTAAAAATAGAGATCTTTTTTTTACCATAAATCCTCTTTATTTTGATAAAAAAAAATTATCTGAAAATAATTCTTCTCACAGTTTAGTTTAAAAAAAGAATGCATATCTAACAAAAAGATAAGAGTAGAAATTTAAAACAATCCATACAAATTTATATATATGGTAGGTGCTGAAAAGTGATTGGCAACCCAAGATAAAAAAGGAAAATTTAATACTTGAACATTTGGGCATATTTTGAGAAGTGAATTGGGCCTAGAACTTTTCTGCAAGC